AAAGTTAATAAGTTGGTGGAAGGTGCAGAAGATCGAATAAAGAACATCAGTATGGGGTGTTGTGCTTATATATATATATATATATATATATATATATATATATATATATATATATATCCTCCGGAAATGGGCTTGCCTTGGGGGCTAATCTGGTACAGTCACTTGGTTCGGCCAGAACCGAATCGAGAGCACCTACTCTCGTGCTACAGAGGAGCAAGAGAGATTGTGGTGCACCGAGAGCACAACTCTCGTGCATCTGTGACCACGAGAGTAGTGCAGTTTCGGGTTGCACCACAGTGCGGACGAGAGTTGTTCTCTCGTGTTGCCTGGTCCGTGTGCTCTCGTGTGAACCTGCACCCCAACGGTCTGAAACCCAAAAGTTCAGCCTGTTGTACAGATTAAACTCATCTGTTACAGAATTAATACTGTTTTAATTCCAATTTTTAAATTCTGAGTTTAATCCTACTTAGTGGTGACCGTTACAGGTGTTACCCAATTGGTTTTAACACCAATTTAATGGCCATGTTGAATGCTATCACTCCAACATCCCTATATAAAGAGAGGTAGAAGCAGTAGCATTTTACACAGTGAGAAACAAAGGAATTCCAGTAACTTTTCATCTTCAAAACTTCTGCTTCTACTCTCTTCTTTACCCAGCAGTGTTCTTGCTCTTTCTTTGTTTGCCGGGTTCCTTGTTTAGGTGCTTAAACAAGGAATCGTAGCACGTTTTTTCCTGGGAAACCTAGGCTACAACACTCCTAGCACTTGTGGGAGGTAGCAAATAAGGTTTTAAGGAAAAGAACTTTGTGTTCGAACTCGTGCTAAATCTATACCCAAACACTCAACTTTTTTCTTCCCAGTTTTTCCTTTCCCATATAATATTAATCTTTTCGTAGGATTATTATTTTTGAGATTTTACAACCATATTACCCAACGTGTTGTGCTTATATATATATATATATATATATATATATATATATATATATATATATATATATACTCTAGTTCGTAACTTATTAATGCATAATGATTAATTTCTGGGTTAAAGAAGAAACTTATTTTGATAGATATTGACGAGTTTTTCAGAAAAGTTAATAAGTTGGTGGAAGGTGCAGAAGATCGAATAAAGAACGTCAGTATGGGGTGTTGTGCTTATATATATATATATATATATATATATATATATATATATATATATATATATATCGTCCGGAAATGGGCTGACCTTGCGGGCTAATCTGGTACAGTCACTTGGTTCGGCCAGAACCGAACCGAGAGCACCTACTCTCGTGCTACAGAGGAGCAAGAGAGGTTGTGGTGCACCGAGAGCACAACTCTCGTGCATCTGTGACCACGAGAGTAGTGCAGTTTCGGGTTGCACCACAGTGCGCACCAGAGTTGTACTCTCGTGTTGCCTGGTCCGTGTGCTCTCGTGTGAACCTGCACCCCAGCGGTCTGAAACCCAAAAGTTCAGCCTATTGTACAGATTAAACTCATCTGTTACGGAATTAATACTGTTTTAATTCCAATTTTTAAATTCTGAGTTTAATCCTACTTAGTGGTGACCGTTACAGGTGTTACACAATTGGTTTTAACACCAATTTAATGGCCATGTTGAATGCTATCACTCCAACATCCCTACATAAAGAGAGGTAGAAGCAGTAGCATTTTACACAGTGAGAAACAAAGGAATTCCAGTAACTTTTCATCTTCAAAACTTTTGCTTCTACTCTCTTCTTTACCCAGCAGTGTTCTTGCACTTGCTTTGTTTGCCGGGTTCCTTGTTTAGGTGCTTAAACAAGGAATCGTAGCACGTTTTATCCTGGGAAACCTAGGCTAAAACGCTCCTAGCACTTTTGGGAGGTAGCAAATAAGGTTTTAAGGAAAAGAACTTTGTGTTCGAACTCGTGCTAAATCTATACCCAAACACTCAACCTTTTCCTTCCCAGTTTTTCCTTTCCCATATAATATTAATCTTTTCGTAGGATTATTATTTTTGAGATTTTACAACCATATTACCCAACATGTTGTGATTTTATATATATATATATATATATAAATATATATATATATATATATATATATATATATATATATATATATATATATATATATATATACTCTAGTTCGTAACTGATTAATGCATAATGATTAATTTCAGGGTTAAAGAAGAAGCTTATTTTGATAGATATTGACGAGTTTTTCAGAAAAGTTAATAAGTTGGTGAAAGTTATTGACGAATAAGTTGATGTTCTTTATTCGATCTTCTGCACCTTCCACCAACTTATTAACTTTTCTGAAAAACTCGTCAATATCTATCAAAATAAGCTTCTTCTTTAACCCTGAAATTAATCATTATGCATTAATCAGTTACGAACTAGAGTATATATATATATATATATATATATATATATATATATATATATATATATATATATATATATATATATATATATATATATATATATATATATATCGTCCCGAAATGGGCTGGCCTTGTGGGCACGAATGTCGTCCGGAAATGGGCTGGCCTTGCGGGCTAATCTGGTATAGTCACTTGGTTCGGCCAGAACCGAACCGAGAGCACCTACTCTCGTGCTACAGAGGAGCAAGAGAGGTTGTGGTGCAGCGAGAGCACAACTCTCGTGCATCTGTGACCACGAGAGTAGTGCAGTTTCGGGTTGCACCACAGTGCGCGCGAGAGTTGTTCTCTCGTGTTGCCTGGTCCGTGTGCTCTCGTGTGAACCTGCACCCCAACGGTCTGAAGCCCGAAAGTTCAGCCTGTTGTACAGATTAAACTCATCTGTTACGGAATTAATACTGTTTTAATTCCAATTTTTAAATTCTGAGTTTAATCCTACTTAGTGGTGACCGTTACAGGTGTTACACAATTGGTTTTAACACCAATTTAATGGCCATGTTGAATGCTATCACTCCAACATCCCTATATAAAGAGAGGTAGATGCAGTAGCATTTTACACAGTGAGAAACAAAGGAATTCCAGTAACTTTTCATCTTCAAAACTTCTGCTTCTACTCTCTTCTTTACCCAGCAGTGTTCTTGCTCTTTCTTTGTTTGCCGGGTTCCTTGTTTAGGTGCTTAAACAAGGAATCGTACCACGTTTTTTCCTGGGAAACCTAGGCTACAACGCTCCTAGCACTTGTGGGAGGTAGCAAATAAGGTTTTAAGGAAAAGAACTTTGTGTTCGAACTCGTGCTAAATCTATACCCAAACACTCAACCTTTTCCTTCCCAGTTTTTCCTTTCCCATATAATATTAATCTTTTCGTAGGATTATTATTTTTGGGATTTTACAACCATATTACCCAACATGTTGTGCTTATATATATATATATATATATATATATATATATATATATATATATATATATATATATATACTCTAGTTCGTAACTGATTAATGCATAATGATTGATTTCAGGGTTAAAGAAGAAACTTATTTTGATAGATATTGACGAGTTTTTCAGAAAAGTTAATAAGTTGGTGGAAGGTGCAGAAGATCGAATAAAGAACATCAGTATGGGGTGTTGTGCTTATATATATATATATATATATATATATATATATATATATATATATATATATATATATATATATCGTCCGTAAATGGGCTGGCCTTGCGGGCTAATCTGGTATAGTCACTTGGTTCTGCCTGAACCGAACCGAGAGCACCTACTCTCGTGCTATAGAGGAGCAAGAGATGTTGTGGTGCACCGAGAGCACAACTCTCGTGCATCTGTGACCACGAGAGTAGTGCAGTTTCGGGTTGCACCACAGTGCGCACGAGAGTTGTACTCTCGTGTTGCCTGGTCCGTGTGCTCTCGTGTGAACCTGCACCCCAACGGTCTGAAACCCGAAAGTTCAGCCTGTTGTACAGATTAAACTCATCTGTTACGGAATTAATACTGTTTTAATTCCAATTTTTAAATTCGGAGTTTAATCCTACTTAGTGGTGACCGTTACAGGTGTTACCCAATTGGTTTTAACACCAATTTAATGGCCATGTTGAATGCTATCACTCCAACATCCCTATATAAAGAGAGGTAGAAGCAGTAGCATTTTACACAGTGAGAAACAAAGGAATTCCAGTAACTTTTCATCTTCAAAACTTCTGCTTCTACTCTCTTCTTTACCCAGCAGTGTTCTTGCTCTTTCTTTGTTTGCCGGGTTCCTTGTTTAGGTGCTTAAACAAGGAATCGTAGCACGTTTTATTCTGGGAAACCTAGGCTACAACGCTCCTAGCACTTGTGGGAGGTAGCAAATAAGGTTTTAAGGAAAAGAACTTTGTGTTCGAACTCGTGCTAAATCTATACCCAAACACTCAACCTTTTCCTTCCCAGTTTTTCTTTTCCCATATAATATTAATCTTTTCGTAGGATTATTATTTTTGGAATTTTACAACCATATTACCCAACATGTTGTGCTTTTATATATATATATATATATATATATATATATATATATATATATATATATATATATATATATATATATATATATATATATATATGTGTGTGTGTGTGTGTGTATGTACTCTAGTTCGTAACTGATTAATGCATAATGATTAATTTCAGGGTTAAAGAAGAAACTTATTTTGATAGATATTGACGAGTTTTTCAGAAAAGTTAATAAGTTGGTGGAAGGTGCAGAAGATCGAATAAAGAATATCAGTATGGGGTGTTGTGCTTATATATATATATATATATATATATATATATATATATATATAATTTAGTTGTAAATACATGCGTGCATTTCAGTGATTAATATATGCTTAATTTTTAATTCCAGGCTTTAAAATGAGACTTTTTTCGAAAGACATTGAAGGGTTTATGAGTGAAATTGATAAGTTGGATGAAAGGTGATGCTAATGTGGAAAAGCAGATTGAGTCTCATCCTGTACTGTTGCTGATGTAGCACAAGGAAAACTGAAGAAAACCCACAACGTAACATGGAGAAAAGTACCACAGAAGTATGAGGTGTTGTGCTCTGCCCTGGGCGATTGTGTGCATTGCGAAAAAAAATTTGCAATGGATTTGGGGAGAGTTCTATGGAAGAAATAATGATTTTCACCCACCTCCAAATTATCCAAGTTTCTATATTTTTTCAAAGAAGTTAAGAATTGAAGAAGATCCTGACCCACTTGATAGGTTGTTAATTTGCATAATAAACTTGAAGATACCTGGCCTAATGAGGAACCTAAGATCTCCTAGTATATACATGTTTTTTGCAATATATAGTTTCAAGAGAATAAAAATATGAAATATTGAAATTACTAGCATTTTATGCTTCTGATTTGCCAGATGAAACAGGAAAAGAAGTTGCAGATGAAAGCCAGTTTGCTAGATCTGAAACTGGGATTAAGCCATAGTGAAGATTGTTAGTAATGTTATATTTCTAGTTCATTTAATATGTTACATAGCTTGTATTATTATAATTGAATTAGTCCTGTAACTAATAGCTATTGTATAGGGTTAGTTAGATAGGACTCTAATCCCTTTTGTATCTCTGTAACCTGTTGCATTTTGAATTCACGATAATCATTTACTCATCTGGTATCAGTTAGCTAGGTGATCTCTCTCTCTTTCCTAACCATGTCGACAAACTCCAGTGAAAGAACGGTCACCGCCGCTACACCACCACCTCTGTCCACCCCCAACACCTTAGCCTTGGCTCACCACTTCATATCCATGAAGCTCACCACAAAGAACTTCCTCTTCTGGCGCACTCAATTGGTGCCCTTTCTGCGTGGACAAGGCTTGCTTGGCTTCGTCACTGGTGACACTCCATGTCCTCCGGCGACTCTTGAAACTCCGGCGTCCGGGAGGCTGCTTCTGGGGCCACGACGTCAAACACCATGGTGAATCCGGCGCATGGCCGATGAGGTCCTTTACCTCGCTGTTGGCCGCACGACGTCGCAGAAGGTGTGGACGTCCGTCACGGCGGCGCTCAGTTCCTCGACATGGGTGAGGTGCCTTGCTCAGTTCCAGTCGCTCAGGCAAGGCGACAACACCCCCACGGAATATCTCGGCAGAACTCGTTGGTGGAAGACCTTGCGTTGGCCGGCCGTCCGGTCTCGCTCGATGAACAAAACCTTTGGGTTTTCCGTGGACTCCGGCCGGAGTTCCGGTGGATGGCCTCTTCTCTTGCGGCGTCTGGCACTCCGATGTGGATACCGCAGCTCTCGGAGTATCTACATTTTTTTACTTATTTAAAAAAATGTTGCACCCTTTATTTTTAATATATTAATACTAGATCTCCATCCGTCTGAACTTTCAGTTCGACGGTTGAGATTTATACTCATTTTACACATAAACAATTATTTTTATCTGATCCACTAACATTAGTTTTAAAAAATTAATCAAAAATTTTTTACTCCATTATTCTATATTAATACAATGCTTGTAAAGAAATGAATACTAGTCATGTAACTTATATAATAAATTAAAATTTAATAAAACCATTTTAACCATTCCAGTTATTAAGATACCATTTACCTTCCGTATATGGAGGGGTTCTTGAACCGCAAATTATGCCGTGCAACCGAATGCATCATGTAAGGTGCATACGGTTGCAAAACGGTGTTGTTTTGTTAAAAAGCGACACGGTTCGCATAAAAAATATATATATTTTATTTTGGATGGCCGTTAACGGCGTTGTACATAGCATATTACTCATTCAAAGTTTCCATTCCCGGATTTTGGTAGTTTGGCCTTTGGATGTTAGTCTCTGTAAGATCGCAATCGCAATCGCAAGGGTTTTCTGATTTTGTGTATGGATTATATGATGGAGGAGGCAATAGATCATAGAGATCAAGCAGTTGATGGATTGCATACGGTTCCAGGTTTTTTTGCAGTTGGTTTTGTTGATTTTTGTTAATCTGCAATCGATATTTTGCAATTTTTTATGGTTTCGAGATCGTTTGCGTTTATTTTGATTGTTGCAGAGTGGTTTATTGTTTTTGGTGTTTATATTTAGTCTGATTTGTATACAATGTATGTGATGTTGGTGATTCTAGTCTGAGATTATTCATAATTTGTGGTGTTTATGTGTTTATGGTATTCTGAATGAATGAAATATATATCCATAATTTTTGAACTATATATCCAGAAATTGTGAGCTAAATATCCAGAATTATAATACTATATATCCAGAATTTCTGAACTGATACTCTGTTCTGGATTGTATACAATGTATGTGATGTTGGTGATTTTAGTTTGAGATTATTCATAATTTGTGGTGTTTATGGGTTTATGGTATTCTTAATGAATGAACTATACATGCATAATTATTCAACTATATATCCAGAAATAGTGAGCTATATATCTAGAATTCTAATACTATATATCCAGAATTCTAATACTATATATCCAGAATTTCTAGTTGATACTCTGTTCTGGCTTGTAACATTATGCAGTTAGTGAAGATGTTGTTGCTGATTCATCAAGTTCAGATCCAATAGAGTTAGACATTGATGGTTCTTCTTCAATTCCAGGTTTATATATAGTTTTATATGTTCATAATTCACACTGTTTAGCATTGTTATATTTTCATTCTTTTTCCATGGAGAATGTTATTCCTTTGTAGAGCATGGCTGGATTTATTCGGCATTCCCCGCACCCCCTCTACTTAGGAATTATATTTTAATGGAATGTTTATTATTTGTTATACTTGAGGTTATATATTGCATTTGCAGTTGATGAAGATTTGGTTGGTGTTGTTGTAAGTAACGGGGTTACGTTGAAGCTTATGAGCTGTATAACAATTATGCATATAGAGTTGGTTTTAGTGTGAGGAAGGGTAATCAACGTTGCAAGGTATACAGTAAAACAGTTCAAATGAAGATGTTTATGTGTTCTAAAGCTGGTTTTAAGGTTAAGGCAAACACTGGTGTTAAGGCCTATTCAAAAATTGACATAAGGACAAGGTGTGGTGCATGTGTCCAGTTTGACTTGGGTAAGGATGGGTTGTGGACAGTTACAAAACACGTAAAAGTGCACAACCACGAGTTATGTGCGGTAGACAAGAGTCATCTACTTCGTTCACATAGAAATGTTGGAGATAATCAGTTGTTATATTTAAAAGATTTAAAGAATAGTGGCGTTGCAACAGCAGATGGTATTAGGTTTTTGAAACATCAAGCAGGGGGTCTCCATTAATTGGTTTCACTAATCGAGATGCTTATAATTCGATTGCTTCTGATACTTTGAAGCGTTTGGATGGAACAGCTTCGAACTCATTAATTGAAATATTTAGGAAGAGGCAGTCTACTGAGTTTGATTTTTTCTTCAATTTTGAAGTTGATTGCGATTCAAGATTGTGCAGTTTTTTTTTTGGAGGGATGGTCGGATGAGACAGGATTACGAGTTGTTTGGGGATTTGTTAGTGCATGATACAACATATCGCACCAATAAATATGATATGATTTGTGGCCCTTTTGTAGAGATGAACCATCACTGCATGAATGTAATGTTTGGATGTGGTTTTTTGATGAATTAGAGGATAGAATCATTTGTGTGGTTGTTTAGAGCATTTTTAAGATCTATGGATGGGAAGTGTCCACAGTCTATCATGACAGATCAATGTGCATCCATGGCTGCTGCTATTTGTCATGTGTTTCCAACATCATGTCATCGTCTTTGCATATGGCATATTGGTGAGAATTCGAAGAAGCATATCAAGGCGTTAAGGAATAATAAGGATTTCTTGGATATGTTTAACTGTGTGTTGAAATACACAGATACTGAAGCTGAGTTTGAATTTTATTGGACAAGGTATGTCCACTACTTTTTTTGTTTTCATTTTATTCATTATTATGTGAATACATAGTATTAGAATCATGGATATATAGTATTAGAATTATGGATATATAGTATTAGGGGTCTGAACATGTAGTAGTAAAGTAAGGAGCTTCCTGCTTGTCTCTGAATTATATGCATTCAATTTATGGATTTATAGTATATGAATTGTGGATATTTAATATTAGAATTATGGATATGTAGTATTATAATTATGGATATATAGTATTAGGTGTCTGAACATGTAGTAATAAAGCATGGAACTTTCTGCTTGTCTCTGAATTATATGCATTCAATTTATGGATTTATAGTATTGGAATTGTGGATATATAGCATTAGAATTATGGCTATATAGTATTAGTTGTCTGAACATGTAGAAGTAAAGCAGGGATCTTCCTGATTGTCTCTGAATTATATGCATTCAATTTATGGATTTATAGTATTGGAATTGTGGATATATAGCATTAGAGTTCTGAACATATGTTAGAGATGTGCTGATCTTGTTTTTTTTTTTTTTTTTTCCATTCCATAAATATTTGTGCTTGTGTCTTATCATTTTCAGGCTGGTGACTGACTATAAGTGTCACAAGAATACTTGGATACAAAAGCTTTATGACTGTAGGGAGAAGTGGTGTCCAGCATTTAACAAGGATTATTTTTCAGGGGGCATTTTATCGTCGTAAAAGAGTGAAACCACAAATCATTCGATTTCGAGAAGGCTGTATAAGACTGCTGGTCTTTGTAATTTCTATTCATAATTTGTTAGTGTAATTTCTGAATGGAGAAGTAAAGAGAATGGTGAAGATTTTCGTTCTGCTCAAGGGGTACCCACTATGATGATGGAGCACGTGAAACTTCTTTTACATGCTAGAGAAGTATATACCATTGAGATATATTATTTGTTTGAGGAACAATTTATGAAAGACAATTCTTGTCATCAAGAAATGGTGTTGAATGATGGTTTTCAGCTCAAGTATCATGTATGGCGTCCAGATATAGACATTATAAGGCACGAAGTTAGTTTTAAGCTGACCAACTTGGACATTTCTTGTAGTTGCAAGTTGATTTCTGAGTTGGGAATTTTATGCTGCCATTGCCTACGTATTCTTCATGTACATTGTATTTCTAGTATCCCTGATAAATATATCATGAAAAGGTGGACTAAAAAAGTGGTTGATGGTAGGAATGTGAATATT